TGGGAAGGTGAGCACACAATTATATGAGTTTTTGTTCTTTGATGCCTGAAACCTGATCCCTTTGACACCTCATGGTCACACAGGCTGGTGTGCTTCTTCTGTGTGGGCTTGGTTGCTTCTCAGCTAGATGGTTGCTTGTTTACCTTCAAGCCTTTAAGACCCCAGACCCTATATCTTTTGATAGCTGGGCACCATTAGCTTTCTTCATCACATTTGCTTATGCACCCTTTTGTCTTCAGAGATCATGTAGGGAAGGTGAGCATCACGGAATACCAGTTTAATAGAAAAAAGTGTTCTTGCACTGAGGGAGTACTTGAGTGGAGGCCCAATGTCTATCTGCTACCTTAATACTAAACCTATAAATATATGCACATAGATCTATTTTCCCATCCTCATAAATAAGTATATTTATATATGTACATACCTGTATTTAGACCTCTATAAATGACCTTTACCTCCTAGTTCTTTCCTCAAATTCCTTTTACTTTCCTCTTGCCCCACTCTCATGCTCAGCCTTCATTTGGGTTTCAATATTTTCTCTCAAACCCACACCCTTTTTATGCCAAGGCCCAAGTTCATTCTGTGTTTTATTGCTTCCTGGGCAACTCTTAATAAGAGTTGGCCTGAGGCTTGTAATTTGAAAAGGCTAATGGACTTTTTGGCAAAACAGCAGAGTCCTGTCATATTTGCATTTAAATTAATCAAATCCAACTCTTCAAGTTGAGGAGGAGACAGGGGGCCAGGGAGAGAAGGGAAACCATTTTAATAGTGTAAGCGTTTTCCAGCTTCCTTCTCAGAGTTAAATCAAGTTCAGTGGGGCCCAGGAAGCTTCTGTTCCTTCCATAGTTCTTGAATCTTGCATCTTAAGACGCCAAATGCTTTTCTAGTGTGTAAAGGTATACCTTTTATTTCCACTAACTAAGATCAATTAAGGAAAAAAAAGCAAAAAGAAGAAAGATCTCAAGTAAATAATTTAACTGTACAACTTAAGGACCAGGGAAAAGCAGGGTAAACTACCCCTGTAACTCCCAGGAAAAAAGGGAGTAATAAATATCAGAGCAGAAATAAGTAATTGGGAAATAGAAAAAATAATAGGAACAATCAATTAAACCTAAAATTGCTTCATTGGAAAGTTTAATAAAATTAACAAACCTTTTGATAGGACTAGACATAGAAAACCCCAAACCAAGCTGTGAGTTTCTGAGACTACTGTTTACAGGAGTAGAAAGCCCAGTTTTTCTCCCGGGTAGTGGCTGGTGTTTTTAAATTGCAGACCTTGTGGAGATTAAGATTCAAATAAGCAAAATAAAAATTGAAAGTAGAAACATTACAATTGGCCCCAACATAAATAAAATTAATAAGAA